CATAAGATTAAACAATGAAATCGACAGATGAAGGTGGTTTGCACGGTTTACACAAATGAGGACGCTTTTCATATGATCACTCCTCTATATATATATATATATATATATATATATATATACTTGGGATCATGTGAGACCAACCTGTTTTCGTGAGACCCGTGAGACCACCTTTTTACACTTAAAACTTCACAGCAAAATGCTGTGAAGGTGACTTTTTTTTAACCTTCACAGTGTTTTTGCTGTGAAGTTTACGTGTAAAAATGTGGTCTCACGGGTCTCATGAAAACAGGATGGTCTCACGTGAACCCAACCCTATATATATATATATATATATATATATATATGAAATTCAAAATCCAAATTAATAATATGGAGCATCACCAATCACCTTAATTAAGTCCTCACCTGTGATTTCTTTCTTCTTTGGAGGTTTTTAAAAATTGTGCGATCTAATCCGTTGACGTGAGTTGGATGTGAAGGAAGCTCTTGAGAAAAAACACTACAACAAAATTGGGTTTATAAGACACCCATAATCTCTAAGTGTCTCAATAGACTTATAGGACCAACATATAAAGGTCCTATCTAAAAGCGTTGCAATAAGTTTATATGACGTTTTTGAATGTCTTAACAAGTTTTTAAGAACATTTTTAATACAAAGTGTCGTATTAACAACTTTATAGGACACTTTTGAGAAATTGTCCTATAAACTCAATTTTTTATAGAACACTTGTTTTTATAGGACATTTTTTCAAATAGTGTCCTATAAAGTTGATACTGGGACGCTTTATATTAAAAGTGTCCTAAAAACTTATTACGACAACAAAAAATGCTATATAAACTTAATACAACACTATTAGATAGAACATTTTATTTTTTTGGTCATATAAATTAAGTTCTATAAAGAGGTCTATTAAGACGATTAGAATTTGGAAGTGTCCTATAAACACGATTTTGTTGTAATGAAGTAAACAAGATGGAAAAAAGAATATATATATATATATATATAGAGAGAGAGAGAGAGAGAGAGAGAGCGCTTGGTTTGAATACTAACCAATTTTTTTGTGTTAACTATGTTAACCAAACTCAACCAATCATATTCCACCTTTTTCTTTGGTTCAAATGTAACTCATATATTAAATATAAGAGTATTTAAGTAATTTGTCATTTTATGTAACTCTCAAATAATTAATTGGGAGTTACAAATTTGAAAATATCACAATTGATCATGATGCAATATTGACATTGGGGTTTCACACGTGTTCATGTTCTATAATTCACATTTATTTTAATCGACAGTTCTCACATTTGACATATGAACACATCATAAATCACACAGCCTTAGATGTCATGATTCATAAGTGTTCATGTATATTCAAGTCACTAGATGTTCATATGAATATACACACACACAGAACATGTGATGTAACACCCTAAAAATTTATTATTCGTAAAATAAATAAATGTTAAGGGTTAAAATTTAAAGAGTAAACGACATACGGGATTAAAGTGTCGATACTCAAAAAATATGATTTTATTGCAATAAATAAAAAAAAATAAAAAAACATTTTGTATTTAATTGATTTGGGATAAAAATGCAGAAAGAAAAACAAAAGAGACTATTTCTGCCAAAAGTAGAAAATTAATTTGGAAGTGATGAGATTTGGGAAATCATTCCCCAAATTCACGTTTTTCCTATTCTAGAGACCGTTTGACCATCTA